GTGCTGTGCTGTGCTGTGCTGTGCTGTGCTGTGCTGTGCTGTGCTGTGCTGTGCTGTGCTGCTATCTATCCACTTATTAACTTAATATTTTATTATCAGGGTCAGTGACGGTTAACCCAACCGCAAAATCGGTCACCACAAAACCCAACAGTAAGTATACTATTGTTCATGCCGTCTCCATAATAACGTAAATCAAATTAGACATTTCCTTTATCAGAAGACTTTATTCGAGGGAGAGAACTGCTTTGTTCCTAGGGAAGACGTTTCAGGCGGGATTGACTAAACCTGTTTCCTCCGCATGATTTCCAAAAGATAACCGCTCTGAATGAATATCGTATGCTTATACAGCTTCTTTTTAATCTTTTTTTTTTTTCAATTTCAGGCGCTACAACGAAATCGGACCTGAAGATTGTAGTACTTATAGCACCTCTCGTGTGCTTTGCGCTACTGGCACTGGCTTGAGTTACTCAAGGGAAAAAAGGGAGCATAAATAAGAGAGGGAAACTTCCTAATAAAGCGCGCGCCATGTAAATTCACAACATGAAGTTCACAACTGTATTCCTCTATTATGCTTCCGGCCAGGTGAGCTTATAGAGAGTACTATCAATGTTTGTATTTATCGGGATATTATAGGCACTTATTGGATTCATCCAAGCCCATTATATATTGGAGAATATTAAAGTCGAGACTTAATATCTGACATAATGGGCGAGGATGAATCCTATAGGTGTAAAGTATAGGAGTAAAATATCCGTCATTTGCTAGTGGCGTCCAAGCAATTATGCAGATGCAAATAATTCACCTTTTCGGCGCTAGCTTGGATTGTGTTACGGTCACCAAAACGTTCGGACATCGTTCTCGGATTTCCATACAAATTGACTGACTTTAAAGAAAAAATTTAGGTAGATTTCTTTAGTTAGCTATCTTAACACAGTAAGAAAAGCTTCAATCAAGCTAGAAAAATAATTAGTTACTTGTATTTAGAGAACTAGCTAAACATTAACTAAATAAATAGTTCATTTAGAGTCAGTACATTTGTACGGAAATTCGAGAACAATGTCCGAACTTTTTAGTGAACGTAACACAATCTAAAACAATTTATACCCCGTGACGTCTAGCGCCGAAAAGGTCAATTGCTATTGCGAAACACTAACAAATCACGATATATTGTGATTATCGAGTTCAATAATTGTTTTATCATTCAAATTATAATTCCGTTCTATCTTTTCGATTTGGCTCTTTTTGCCAACTATCAAACATACCATGTAACAAGGAAGSGAGCTATGTTGACAAATGAATCGTTACTGCGCATGAGCAAACTATCATTTGCAGCAAAACGGCTTTGCATCATAATGCGCATGAGCAGAATATTATTTGCAGGCAGTTATTYGCAGTTGTCTCGGCCAATCGAAACGAAGGTAAAATTATTGGATGAAGTTTTGATGACATCTAAAACTATTAATGTCCAAGTAAGTGTTATTGGCCGAAAGATAACATTTGCAGAGACAATGATAATAGACCGGCTTCGAGTTCCAAATCACGCTGTGTTTCTTGATAAAAGACTCATTTACTTAAGGTTAGCCTCGATTTTGTATAGAATATTCACGTGTTCCAGTCAAGGTCCGTGGAATTTCAAAGTGTTTGTATTGTTAAAGTTGTGCTACCTTTTCTTTACCGTTGGGGAATTTGTGAATATTTAGACACTGATWCGAGRCTAACCCAGAGTCTGTAATCAAGGAACACAGCGAGAATTTGAAACTTGAAACTGGTCTATTCCGGATATCATCAAAACCGAATTTAGCTAATGTTTTATTCTACATTGTTCAAATAGATTAACTGATAATACGAAGATAGAAACTTTATGATGAACTTAATATTTTAAAAAGTTTCCGCCGTCCGCTGACCTATGCAGGGTCGTTTTTGCAGATAACTGCCTACAGATATAGCAATCGACCGCTGAAAAATCGCTGGCGCCTGCTGATTGCAAGAATTAGCTGTAGGTTCTCGACCAATGAGAATTGTCAGTTAACTACTAATTTTTTGGTCGAATGTCAGTTAACTGTAATGATTTTGCGAGCACTTACCATAATATTAACCAAAATAATGAAAACATCAGTTAACTGTGAAAACTATTAATTTTAGGTTATTTGTCAGTTAACTACTATTTTTTGGCCAATTGTCAGTTAACTATTAACCCAATTGGCAACCTCGAAAAATATTACTTATAATCACTGAGCCTGAGGGGAATAATTTTAGTATTAGTATAATTTTAGACTTGAAAAACAAAGAAAAATTGAAATTCGGAATAAAAAAAAAACACGTTTTAGTATTACTTCCAATCTGGAAAACTTTAGAAAACCTCATAATCACCGCTCCAGCGGTAATTATCGTCTCACTGGTCGCTCGACCAATCACAGCGCGAAACTCTATATTCAAACCTAAAATTTACTAATTAACAATTATTCGCCGAAAGCGAAGTGACTATCGTGGAATATTTACCGAGGCGCGAGTCTTCGAGCRGCGAAATAAATATTCCCTATATTRATCACTGAGCCTGTCGCGAATAATTGTTTTAGTATTCATTTTAACAAAAGTGAATTCAGTAAATAACGGAGAGAGAGTTTGTGTCGTATTTTTAAATGTTATTTATCTTTGCAAGCGGCACAAATCGGCAATCGAGCGTGCGCGATATATTCACCTGTAGGTGACTATAGCAGCATAAGACGTAAAATGTAACCAATGAGCACGTCGGATTTACTATATACAATTGTGTAAAAATAATAAAATATGATATGATAACTTTTTAGTTTAATAATGGTAAACTCAGGATTAAACTAAATATTGCAATACCTTTATTGGATCTTCCTGAACCGGAAGGGCTTTTCAAATTCAATTTACAAAGCTTACAAACTTTAAGAGCTACTTTACAAATACATGTATGTGCTTAGGTATATAAATTTTAGCTATAAAGGCTTTTTAAGTAATTCTGTTATAATGTTAAGTGGATAATAAAAGCTATGTCATACGATTAGTTACAATCTACTTAGTATATTAATATTATTACTACTATGTATTATTACTTATTAAAGTATTAAATGGACAAACTAATCAGCCAACCATTCCGTGGACGTTAGTCCTTCGTCAGTCCCCATGGGATGAATTCATCCCATGGGCCGGGGACTGACGAAGAACTAACGTCCAAAACGTCAGTTTCCGGCAAAGCTTTTTACGGTGATCCAAGTTATCTACAAGTTCCTACTGTTTTATTCAGAAACACCGACGCAGTCCACGCTAGTACTCTACTAGTTACCACTAGCTACTCTTAAGAGAGTTTTTTAAAGAGTTTGACTGAGCTTATCTGTGTAATACTTTTGGGATAGAGTTCCAAATGTCAAATGCAGCTCTTAAGGAAAAAGACTGTTGAGCGAGCTTTGTACTTATATGATCTCCCCCAATATTACGGATGGGTTTTAAAGACCATTGCGTCTCCTCCCTCTCTGTTATCTGTTACATATTTTGGTAAAAGCTAAATTTGCTAGCACATAGATGTGAGCACAAGTTCAGTTACAAATGTGAGATAAAACGTAGAGTGCTTGTATTTTGGTTCTATTTTCACTTTTAACAAATACAAGTGGTATTTTTCATGAATTCTTGGACTAAGGTTGTATTTCCTATACAAATCGAACTAGCAATTACAAATCGTACTCTCACTACGCGGTCTTGCGATTTTGTAATCGCGCGTTTGATTACAGATCAAATCATACGACTGATTTAAAAATTGCACGACCGCGTAATACATTTTTAATCACGAGTATGATTTCAGACCGCAATTGGACGACACGAAGTTCTATTACCAATTTATAATTATATCCATTTTTTGTAAAAAAAAGTTTTTGATAAAGACGAACTGGACAGCACTTTTTTCTGCTAAACATGGGCAAAAATTCGATACAGTCCAGCCGTTTAATTCGCTAGCGCGGAAATTCTTGCTGTCACCTCTTATGCGCATGCTCAATCGACCAAAACAATATGGCATCCAAGAGGTAAAGAAGTGAAGAGTCGAAAAAATTTTATAAATGCTTGAATGAATTGGGTACAGCTGATTTTTTGGGTCATAAGCCATATAAATTATATACCACAGGAAGCCCAAACGTCAAAAATCAACAGACACAGAAAGCCCAGTCAGTGAAATTTAACAGAATATAATAATAATAGTAATAATGCTTAATAACCAGTCTCTCACGATAAAAATGGCTGCCGTTACTAGAAGGCAGATGCAAGGAAACTAACACTCGAATATGAGCAGTTTTCTGTGGCAGTTATGGGGAGCAATTTTCAAAGATTTTACGAGCTTCGGGCCGTGGAATGGTGCATTATAGTAAAGAATGTTTACGATCTACTTAAAGTTAGATAGGATATGACAGTTTCTAGATGTGTAGTGGTGAGCCATATATTATAACTAGAGAAGCTTATAATTTCGAATTTACCATCTTCTACCAGTCATTCTCTTATAAAGCTGCCATTTTATTTCGACCTGAAATGAACGAAGTGCGCATGCTCATCCACCATACTGTATAGAATTTTTGCCCACGACGCATGGCGACAATAAARCAGTCGATCCAAATATGTCTACAAGTGTAGAAAGTGGGGCCACTTTTCTTTTATATTAATTTGTGCTCAAAAGTATGAAACCAACTTAGCAAAATGACTTAAGAGATGCACCCACACTAGCTTCTAGAGCTAGTCTTAAATATTGAATTA